TTTCTATGGTTCTATACAACAAACTTTCCCAATCAAATTTCAACCCTTTGTCCCATTATATCGCACGCAAGTTGTTTCTTTAATCGAAACAAACTTTTTTAACTGCAAACAAATCTTCAGTCGCGCAGTTACATCTCTCTGAGAAATATTTTACCCTCGATAACGTTCAAATACAGAGTGTTCAGCCACCCATGGGAGAAATTGCAATGGGAGATTCTAGGGGCCAAAATAAGACGAAAATAAAGAATACCAATTTGTTGATCGAGGCTTCGTTAAAAAGTTATCAACGTTTGAAGCTCCGCTTGTAGAACGGCGATCTGCGAACAGTTGCGCACGCGTGACAGTGATACTCGTGCGCACGCAGCTGTACGCAGGTTGCCTATCTACAGGCGCAAACGTTAATAACTTTTTAACGAAGCCTCCATCAACAAATTGGTATTCTTGATTTTCGTCTTATTTTTGCGTCTAGAATCCCCCATTAAAATTTTTCAAAAAAAATAAAATAAGTACAAATTGAATTTAACCAAAGTAGTGCGACTATTACTTAAGTTTTATACATAAACCTTTATGGTACATGCAGGGTGTTTCGTTTGAGCACAGTGAAATATTTCGAAATATGCGTTGGAGCTACGAAAAAAATGTTTAATTGCTCTTAATTAAGAAATAAAAACTCGAATGTGAAACAGTAGAAGGAAAAACGTCTTCAAATTAGCGTCCTGGGCAGCTGGAGCACCCAGAGAACTCGCGAAGAAAATGGGAAGCAAGTCTACCGAAGATTCTCTTACTGTATGCGTGGGGCTAGTAAAATGAAACCATCCTGGTCGGACAGTAGCATAACGCAAAGTGGCTCGTCCCCTACGAGACCAGAGAGAGTTTTGAGTCGTGGGGCTTGCTCGTGGAACACGCTTGTTTAATTTACTCCTTTCTGCCCCGTGTTTCAAGCTTGTCCGTGCACGCGAGGAGACTCGAGACAGTTATATAGTCGGATGGATAGATGGACAAATGGAAAGAGAAATAAAGCGGCCACACAATTATCTTAATGGAGTTGTGGACACCGGTGGGCATTATCGATTCGTTGGGTAACCGTCGCTACGCCACTGCCCTGTCGCGTAACTCTTGCACGATCGGGAGAAAAATGTTCCGTTGGCGCAACAGTGGGAGCTCAGAAAATAAAATAGACACGATTAATTTTCGAGGAAAACGTCCCGTTGGTTCGACGGTCGGAGTCAACGAAAATGCTGGTAGATTCGATTAATCCTCAAATTTAACCTAGCAACGGGTTCTAGCAACCCGAAACCATCGTTTATTAACTTTCGTACTAACGTGACAATTTATATCGATTTAAAGGAACTGAAGATATATTTTTTCCCACGATATTGGTAAATGTGTTTGAAACATTGAATCGATCGTTTCGAAATTGTCTTAGGAATTTTGTTTATTTTCTTGCGATATAATAGTATTGATTCGAGAATTTTGGATTTTGATATTTCGAGTTTTTTAAATCTTGATACAAATGGAATAAGAGAAACATTTTGTTTGTTGGTCGAGTTCATGGCGGTTTAATGAGTCATTGATTATAGGATAGTTATCAGTGGTTGGATTATGGTCGTAGATGGTCAACAATGAGGCTGACATCAAGGTCAGCGATCTAGTGAAGACAAAGGCAATGCCAAGAGACAGGATCAATGAATTACATTCACTATTGTAGGAGTTATGGTCGATTGAAGATGATATTACGAATATCAATTAATCATTTTTCTAAAATTCATCATTTTTATTTTGAATCATCATGATATTGACATTTTGTAGATATTATTTGGTTATTTGTTTATTGACGAATATATTAAATTAAATTATATATATAGTATCAAATTATTACAGTTAATTTCCAAATAAAAAATTTATTATAAATGATATATATAATTTATAATCATTAATATTTATATATAATTGTTTTTTAATTACATTATTAAATATTTATTTTACAATATCATTTAAAAAAAGTCGAGAAAAATGTTTACCAATTGAGTGTGGATTTGATTCTTTAACAAGGAGATGATTACCATTTTCTAATTATTTTCTTTCGATTTCACTAATTTTTTTAATTTATGTTGTTGAAATTATTTTAATTTTACCAATAATATTTTTTATAGGAGAATTTTTAGGGGATTTCTCTCATTTTTATATATTTTCGGTAAGGAATTTTTTTCTCGAAAATGGGTTGGATTTTGGGGGTATGCGTATTGACCAAAAATGATTGTAATTGACCCCTGCAATCGAAAATAATTTTTCCAGAATGATTTGAAATTTTTCAATTTCGCCGCACCTACCCCATGTCGATTTTCCATAAAAATTCGTTTTTCATTTTTAATAAATTTGGTTCGCGCTGTACAGAAAAGTTGTTTAATACTTTTTTGTAGGTATCTATAAACTCCAGTTCCCCCCCAAATTTAAATGAAATATATTCACTATTGTAGGAGTTATGGCTATTTGAAAATTGGACCATTTTTATGGAGGTTTTTCTCATTTTGAGGAGTCAAGGAATAACTTTTCGAATGTTTTTGGAATTTTCACACATTCTTCACCAAAATACGCGTTGTTTGCATTTTGAAACATTAAAATCGTCCAATCCGTTCAGGAGTTATGATGTTTCAAAGATTCACATTTCAAGCCTCAGATTAGATTTTCAGTAATAAATTTTTTTCTCGAAACTGCGTAGAAATTCGAGGGTATGTCTCTCCACAAAAAATCATTATAATTGACCCCTGCATCTAAAAATAATTTTTTTAGTACCATTTGAAATTTTTCAATTCTCTCGAAAAAATTCACACATTCTCGAATTTTTTTCTAGAAAGTGAGCAGGATTTCGAGGGTACGTCTATTGACCAAAAATGATTATAATTGACCCCCGCATCCAATAATAATTTTGTTAGTACCATTTGAAATTTTTTAATTCTCTGGAAAAATTTCACACATTCTCGAATTTTTTTGTAGAAAATGAGCAGGAATTCGAGGGTATGTCTACTGACCAAAAATGATTATAATTGATCCCTGTATCTAAAAATTATTTTTCCAGAATGATTTGAAAGTTTTCAATTCTCTCGAAAAATTTCACACCTTCTCGAATTTTTTTCTAGAAAATGAGCAGGATTTCGAGTGTACGTCTATTCACAAAAAACGATTATAATTGACCCCTGTATCTAAAAATAATTTTTTTAGTACCATTCGAAATTTTTTAATTCTCCCGAAAAATTTCACACTTTCTCGAATTTTTTTCTAGAAAATGAGCAGGATTTCGAGTGTATGTCTATTCACAAAAAACAATTGTAATTGATCCCCGGAGCCGAAAATAATTTTTCCAGAACGATATGGAATTTTGTTTTTTCATGAAAAAATTACTGCATCTACCCATCAATTTTTCTCAAAAATTCATTTTTGATTTTTAATAAATATGTTTGACGCTGCAGGGGAAGTGTTTAAATCGTTTCTTGGTTTATCAATTATTTTCCATTATCACGGCGGGGATAGTGTTGTGGCAGGACCAACGTTCTTTGAAGGTTGGTTGAGAAATGGCTCACAAAACGTCGGAATGAACAATCCACTCATCAGGGCCCGCTACGCGAGCCACACGTGCTGGAAGCGTGCCGGGACAACTGGTGCCCCCGTCGCTTCTGGCACCATGTGCGCCAATGAATATGCACGCGTGCTGCACACGCGATTCCTTTCGACAATGTAAGATCGCCTCCTAGGCAGTAGGTGTTACCCTTTCAGCGTTGTTGCGACTTGCGTGCCTCGCAGACCGTGCTTTGTCCTTTGGTTACAACAAAGAACAAAATTTAACGCGTACGTACGAGGCTTGACCAAAAAAAAAAAGCTAACAAGAATATAAAAATGCACACTGCGAAACACAACGAATACACAAATATTTTACGCTATGAAGCAAACGGTGGGCCAAATTCCTATGAAAACATTCAATTATTTCATTTAATTAACTATTACACGTTTCGTTCAAACACTTTTGTCAGCCATTTCTAGTAGGTCGTCCACAGTCTACTATTTAATTCGTGAGCCTTTTTGTGGCTCAATATTATTTATTTATTCCTCCATCGATCCAACAATTTGTCGATGGAATTTTGGATTAGCTAGAATACCTGATGTCCATGAAATTTAAATGATCATCGACGAGCAAGGACAATAATAACAAGGAAATTTCACGATACAATAAATCTCATTAAAAGCATCTATCTTAATATTGAATTAACTCCAACATTTCGAACCGGTTATTTTCAGTGTTAAAGTAGGCCAGACATTTATTATCGGGCACAGATTACTGTAAAGATAAACATACACGATATTCGAAAATGATTTTCAACTTTTCGAGTGGCGGAGATTAATTTCTATCAACAAGATTTATTACACGAATTTGCCTCAGGTATTATTCGCTGCAGATCTTGTTAAAAAAATTTGTTTTACGACCTGACGAGTAACAGTGTATCGATCGTTGGATAAAAAAACTGTCTTTGATGTTTCTGAAACCGTTTAAAGGGGTCGCGGAAGGGGGGCCAACGAGAGCCCGCATTTTCGATGAAAACTGCACCACTCGACTTGGAAACTTTCGAGGATAAACAACTCGATACATAACTTCTAATCTCGAGCAACAATGCCATTGTGGAACGAGTGCGACCAACTGCCGAGCCTGACACTACGTCCTCGACGACATATGGGACAGAGTCGATGATCTTCTACTTAACGTCTCGTGCTTTTGTGCCCCCGCATAATGGAGTTCGATGACCACTTGAAAAAGCAAGGGTCAGCCCTCCAAAAGGGATCGCCTTCGACGCTGTTCCAACGAAACAGGCCGTGAAACTAGCGAGATCTTTCAAAGAATCCGCGACAAATATCATAATGCAAGAAACTAGCGAGAACCCGGTATCGAAAAATGTGAACGAATAAAAAGAAATGATGAAATGAAAAGGAATATCAAATCAAAAAAGACTCACGTTCTTCCTTGATCGGAAAACAGCTTGGTGTTTCAATCTTCCGTTCTAAAACAAAAGGAAAAAAAATAAACTAATTAAGTCGATTGAAATAAACCGTGTGCACAACTTAAATACAATGGATTATGATAAAATTTTATAAAGTGACGTTTTTTTTTTGAAAGAAAACGAGATTACGAATGAGATCGACGAGCGTTCCGAGTGAAAATAAAAAAAAAAAAATACTTCCACGAGTTGACTCTGTTTTTTAGTGTCCCGTTTGGGCATTGATCGTAACGTTTCGAACGTAAGATTTCAGACGAGACGGTGTCTCATCTTGGCAAACCACCATTGCGTTTTTATTGTACATCTCGTCGGTTGTGGTTCAGCTCGACAGTATTTCTCTCGCGATCGTAAATAATTTACCTACCTGTGTAATATCCTGACTCATAGCCTGCGTGGATTAAACTGTACGAACGTTCACGATATTCGTAAATGAAATTAATATATTTACGTGCAATTGGCCACCGAAATGAAAAACGATCTGTTATTTATATCTCAATTACTGGAACCATTCTGTTCTCAAAGCTTCATGATTTTAGTACAGTTTTAAATATTATTTTTTGTATACTCTGATTGTTCGTATTGAAACCTTATTTGCCTGAAAATAATCAATATAGAATAGAAATCACAAACTAATATAATATAGTAATAATAATTGAGGTTTCATTTGGTTCTATAGCATTGCTTCCAATGCTCGCCGCTAGAGGGCTCCAGGCTCTCACAAGCGCTCGACTGACTCCTCGATTGCTACATTCCTCGGTCGACTTCCCGATATTCCAGTTGTCTAAGGCGCGCTTTGTATAGTTCTTTTGGTGCCATTTTTCTATACAAAATATTAAATCTTGCCCCTAGTATAAGTAACTATTCTTAAAACTATCTTGTAAGTAGCATTAAGTGCGACGGAGATTATTTAATGTTAAGACTACGCGAGCTCTATGTTGAGCCATTAGTCTAAATTGTAGTCCTAGTTATAAGTTAGCCGTTTGTACGTTTAGGTTTATTGCACCCCCTTGTATATATATTTATAATTGTTTTTTTGGCACAATAAACGTTCGTTAAAAAAAAAAAGTTGTCTAATCACTCTAGTATAGTTTCTACTATGCTTTTTCTATACTAAACTTAAGCTTAATAGATTAAGTTCCTCTACTCATTTTAATTGAGATTATTAAACGACATTAAGTGCAATACACATGTAATTCACACAGAAGACAACGCGTACTCAAATAGAGTCTTTTTAGTCTGTAAGAATTAATAATAATAAATTATTTTTGTCAGATTAATTCTGATAAAATTATTGTAATTCATTCAACAAATGCACCTCAAATAATTTTTTGCTCTTTTTTCTAACCAAATCAAGAGAATATTGCACTTTTTTCTTTGGAATAAAATTTATATCATAGAATATGTTAGACTAAATTTTACCAGTCTTATGAAGCTACACAGACTTGTATTTGTAATATAAAACTGTTTATTAATGTAAATGCACGCTTCAACATTTTATACAGAGAAGTATATACGTATATAGTACATAAAAAAAGGGATAGAATAGAAAAGAGGGCGCGCTGACTATTGAGGGTACGCGGTGAATTTAAAATATAGAATTTATTTCTAATAGAATATACATATATCGATAAGGATTTAAAGAAACTTATTTGTCAAATTTTTGTTACAATAATTCTGATGAAATTATTGTATATTTATTCAAATGCACCTCAAACAATTTTTTGCATTTTTTTCTCAACAAATCAAGAGAATATTGCACTTTTTTCATTAAAATAAAATTTATGTCATAGAATATACATCGATAAGGATTTAAAGAAACTTATTTATCAAATTTTTTCCTGATGTATTCTGATGAAATTATTGTATATTAATTCAAATGCACCTCAATCAATTTTTTGCACTCTTTTCTTTAGAATACAATTTATATCATAGAATATAATTCGATAAGGATTTAAAGAAACTTATTTGTCAAATTTTTTTCAAATCAATTCTGATGATATTATTGTATATTTATTCAAATGCACCTGAAATAATTTTTTGCTATTTCTCCTCAACAAATCAAAAGAAATTCATAGATGATTTGTCACATTGCCCTTTTTTCTTTAAAATAAAATATAATTCAATAAGGATTTAAAGAAACTTATTTGTCAAATTTTTTTCAAATCAATTCTGATGATATTATTGTATATTTATTCAAATGCACCTCAAATAATTTTTTGCTATTTCTCCTCAACAAATCAAAAGAAATTGATGATTTGTCATATTGCCCTTTTTTCTTTAAAATAAAATATAATTCACTAAAGATTTAAAGAAACTTATTTGTCAAATTTTTGTTCAGATTGATTCTTCCGTTAGATGGGTATAAATAGCTTAAAAAATCGGTGCAACCATGAGAATGAACACCCTGTAGATCGAAATGTATCGCTCTGTATGATTGTAAGTTTGTACGAGCGCGGTTTAAATGGCGTTTAGTTCCCATCAAGAGCCACTTAATCTCCGATCGCGTAAACTTGCGTAACAATGGGGGTACGCGTGGCCGAGGAGGGGCACACGTGATTACGCCCGACAAAACTTCATCGGGGAGTCACGTGGCGCTGGAAAAACGGGCACAACATCCGCACGAGCCGGTTCACCGTCCGAGAAACCTAACCACAAACCCACGAAAGGATCCTCGAGCACCGCCTACAAGGAAAACAACCCCCGAGTCACGCGTTCCCACAGTACACGCAACGCTACCAGCTACAACCCCCTCGAATTTTCGCCGAAACGTTTCGGATTACACGGTATTTTGCTGTTACCTATTCGATGTTTGCCAATGCTCGTCAACGAATCGATCTTCAATGCCTTTCCACGTCCCTATCCACTCTAATAGAAAAAGCTTTTTTTTAAACTCGAGTCAAAGTTGACAAACATTTAACATAAAAAATTGGGGCAAATCGTTAATATTTTATGAAAGTTATTTTACCTAAGAAAGTTTGTTACTTCGGATGACTTTGATCGATGTTGCATTGATGTTATTAAATTTTTCTCGCGATAGTCTTAAAAAGAATCATATTTACAAGATTAATTTTATACAACGCGAGTAATGGACGTTGAAATATTTTTTTGGAATTCTTTCTCGTGTACTTGTATTCAACGCTTAATAAAATACAGAGGTTTATTGTCACTGGTGTGATGGACGAAATTCTTAATCTTATCGGGGGAATCAAGCCTCTTCAGAGATCTGCTCGACGTGCTACGTAACGACGATTATCTAAGCGTTAGCCGACGTGTTAACTCGCTCGAAGACCTTTCGAAGTCTCCTCGAGTGCTTCGTACTCGAAACAGTTGGAATAGTTGAACTCAAAAACAATTGCAATTTATTAATATAAATCTTACTATAAATCTTCTCCTTCCTATAATTAGCCTATAATTCTCCTTCCTATAAAATTCAAGATGACCTTGACAGGCTTCAGGAATAGGTGCTCGTTAAATAAATTATTCCTCGATCTCAAGCTTATAATTTGTTAAGGAATAAAATACACATTATTCATTCCCAATTAAAGAAACTATATTCTTTTCACTATCTCCTATTATCTGCATTCTATATTACGAAACATATGTTTTTTAAAAGTTATGGTAGGAATATACGATTACACCCACTCATGCACACTATTATAGTGATCCACTATAAATCAAAAGAAACTTGTGTTTCTCATGAATTTCTTCCTTTTATTTTTATCAAATCTTCTCTATTACTACTGTAGCTTTGTGTTATTTTTATTTACGTAGTTTTTTGTTTCTTATGAATTCTTTTCAATTTGTTTTTACACCATGTATTGTTTGTTACAACTGTGTTACCTTGTATTTACAAAGTAGTTTTTTGTTATTTTTATTTATATAATTTTGTTTTTTGTGAATTCTTTCCATTTAGTATTATCAAATATGTTGTTTATTATACCGAGTTACTTTTTATTTACGAAGTAGTTTTTTGTTATATTTATTTATGTAATTCTGTTTTTTGTGAATTCTTTCCATTTTGTTTTACCAAATATGTTGTTTATTATACTGAGTTGCTTTCTATTTACAAAGTAATTTTTTGTTATTTTTATTTACGTAATTTTGTTTCTCGTGAGAATACTTTCCATTCAGTTTTACCAAGTACGTTGTTTATTATACTGAGTTACTTTCTATTTACAAAGTAGTTTTTTGTTATTTTTATTTACGTAGTTTTGTTTTTTGTGAATTCTTTCCATTTTGTTTTACCAAATATGTTGTTTATTATACTGAGTTACTTTCTATTTACGAAGTAGTTTCGCGTTACTTCTATATTTGCGTAATTTTTTTTGTTCATGAAATTTTTCCATTTATTTGTTTAATATAAACAAACTAGTAATGTCCAATTCCAAAACTGATAGAGAAATATAATATAAATACAATAAAACCTACAACAATACCAAAGATATGCGCGATTTTCCTAAGGCGGTCACCCATCCCGTACTGCACGCCGCCCAATGATGCTTCACTTCGTTGATCACACGACAACCATTCCATTTTAAATAACATTTATTAGACATTACATTTGGTAACAAGATACAATAACATAATTACATTAGAGTAGATGTTGCATATAAAGAATATTTTAACAGAAGTTCCTACTTATTTAGTCTAAGCTTTACCTTCATTTTTCGTTACACTACGTATTTGGTTATCGCTTCTTTATTATATAAAATAATGGTAATTCGAATGTTACAATAGTGTTTATTCTCGGTGTTTACAGGAAACTAGTTGATAGAAAACCTGCTTTCGAGTAGACTCGCTTAAATATGATTGTTTATTTACGTACTTATTGCACTTTTCCTTTGGTAAGGTCATTTTGGTGGTATTGCTATTTATTGCTATTTATTGCACGGGAGGTTCTAACTCTATACTTATTATACAGGATCCCGAGAGATTTTGGGTTTACCTTTAATTATAATTATTCTAGGAATATCGGCAGTGCTTGATAAGGTAATTTGTGCTTC